ACATCGACCAGACTACACAGCGCAACAACCCAGAAGACGGAAATCTTCATACTCACCGCTGTGAGAACCTCAGGTCTTACACAGAATTTCAGAACTTGCCCATTAATGCCACACAGATAGTTATTAATCAATTAGATTTTCCCAAGAAAATATGCATTAAGGCATTTCATTATTATGAAGTGTGTTGTGACTTTATTAATTTAATTTGCTGATTTATTTTTGGTAACATATTTCACATCCTTCTTTCATGCGGAAATAACCAGTTTTTTGTTTTTTAAGTCAACTTGAACAGTGCCTGGTTCCTAATCACTGTTTATTAGATTTTAAAGAAAGCTCATTATTTTCTGAAAATGTATTAATGAACAAGGTCACGTTTGTCTGCGTATATTTGACTCTTCGTTTAGAAGAAATATTTTTTGATTCATATGCATGCAGCATCGTGCAGTTTTGTTTTTCTGGTCACTAATTCCTTTGGTATTATAGATAGTTCCCTGAGTTTCAGAGGATCTTGTTATGATGTGTAGGCCGTAATTCCTCTGAGACATTTGTAACTACCTGCAGCATCATAACCCAGCAGAACACACTCAGATGAAAATGTCATTGCACCTCTGCAGTTGTTATATTTCATTTACTGAGAATGCGTTGGTGGGATGCTGAGAGTAGTAAGCGCCAACCCTCTTATGTTCTAGTTGTGGACAACAGGCCGATTTTATCGGTGTTTCAGCTGATGTTACTGGAACACATCATCATGTGTCGGCTTGTGATGGGGAACAAATCGCTGGCGCTGAGTGAGATCTCGCAGGCCTGTGGTCTGTGCCAGCAGCAGCCACGGCTCCTGGTCACGCACCAACCCCAGCTGCACACGCTGCTCGGCCTATACGCCATGAGCATGAACTGCATGGAAGCAGCTGAGGCTCAGTTCACCGCTGCCCTTAGGGTCAGGTCACTTTGTGACACATTAACCTTCTTACTGTTTGTGCTCAGATAGTATAATGACTGACTATGGACTAGACGACCGGGGTTCGATCCCCAACAGGGACAGAGGATTTTTCCTCTGGTCTTTGCGTCCAAACCAGTTTTGAAGCCCACCCAGCCTCCTATTCAATGGGTACCGGGGTCCTTTTCCAGGAGTAAAGTGTGGCTGATGTCAAGAATGAGTAGGAGCTATACCTCCACTCCTCCTAAGTGCCTACATGGTGTAAAGTGGAACAGCTTTATTTACTTTCACTGTTTGTGCTGTAGAATTTACACAGGATCTTTTTGGTCTGAAATCCTGATTGGGATGTGATCTATAGTAATTACGTACTTGAAGAAAATTGACAAGGGAATTTAAAAATGACTGTTGTTACGTTGCAGACATCACAGGAGCGAGAGCTGTGGACATTTGCAAATTTAAACCTGGCCATCGTGTACCTGCGTGCAAAGCGGGAGCAAGAACTTGCAGCGCTTCTGGATAGAATTGACCCCAATACGCTGCCCTCTCACTCACACAGCCTCAGGGCTGCAGCATTCTACGTGCAGGGGCTCCAGTCATTCTTTCAGGCTCGCTACAATGAGGCCAAGTAAGTGCAGGGAGGATGCTTTTATTTGAATTGATGAACTTCTTGGGTTGGAATTAGGATATGTTGCAGACTTGAATGGATGTGTGATGTTGAACTGCACAGGCGGTACTTGCGAGAGACGCTCAAGATGGCCAATGCAGAGGATCTGAATCGTCTGACATCGTGCTCACTAGTGCTGTTGGGCCATATCTTCTTATCGCTGGGCAACAGTCGAGAGAGTATGAACATGGTGACACCTGCTATGCAACTGGCAAGCAAGATTCCTGATGTGCACGTCCAGCTGTGGGCCTCTGCCATCCTGAAAGGTGACGCGAGTTCCTATCACAATATAGTATCTAAACTTGAGGTCTGAGTTCAAATCTTTAGTGATGGAATGGCTGTTGGGAGTGCGGTTTGTTCTAGTTTTTATAAGTCTGCATAGGCCATTATCACTTTCAAGTCCTTTTTAATGCTTGATTATCCTTTATTTATGTTTCTCCTGGCTTTAAAATCACAGTCCCATATACTGGTCTTGGCAGGTAGGAGCAGTGAATCTGTCTGACAATGTAGTGGAAGAGGCCTTGGTGAACCTGCCATAGCCCCAGAAAGCCAACATTTGACATCAAATGGCATCCGAGGAGAGGTAAAAGCCTGCGCAGTGATTGCTACTCCATTCCCCTATCCCCATATTATAATGTTTGTGGTTCAGTGGTTGTGGTAATTTCTTACGGGGTAATGAGGAATACAAACCAGGTATCGTATCATTTGAGCTCATGTGGTATCGTAACAGATGTATGTCCCTTCTGCTCCGGCAAAGGGCGCGTAACAAACGTTGTAACTGCGCAGACCTGTACCGGATGTGTGGGGACCCGGTTCGAGAAAATGAAGCTTTCCAGATGCACTGCAACTTCTCCCAGATGTTGCTGAAAGACCACTTTCAGGCGTCGCAGATGCCAGAGCACAATCTGACGAACTGGACGGACGGTAGCTTCCCCATGCTTGTCGGAAATCCCCCCAGCACATCTGACACTCTGCTATGAGCTACAGGTAAGTTGTTTCGCGGGTTTTATAAAGCACTGTTTTTAACCTACGACATGGATCCGAGATCGTAAAATGTCTTCTATATTGCTAACATTTTTAACTAGTGCACAAAAGATAAAAATGTGAAAACTAGGGGCAGTAATAAAATGTCTGGTACTTTTATTTTTAATATTTGGATTTAGTTTGAGTGTGTTTCATTGAGTACGCACCTGAAGATAGCCATACAGGATGTGTTGGTGGTAATTTTACTGCGTCTATTTACGTACCACTTCTGTCACACATGGATGCCACCCTTAAAATTATTTTTCTTTATGCTTGAGTTCATAGTACTGAAGAAGGTGCAATTACGTGATTTTAGAATGTAGAAAATTGTTTATTAAGGAGTATATCAATTTATATTCCTCACTTAAAACAAGAGATGCATAAAAATCAAATTTGTATTAGAGACTTAAGCAAAAGTGGATGTTTGCTGGCTTCTGTTTTAACAGTAATGAACGCCAAAAATGGCTCTCTTCTGGGTTGCAGTGCCTGGTAGAGGTTTGCCAGCATTTCAAAAGTCCTTGCCCTAACGATGGAGACAGCCATCTTTGTATTGTCTGCCATGAGAACCTCAAAGCCTACTTGGTAATAGACCTTCCAGTTCCGCATCAAGCAACTATTATCATTGAGTTGTTGTTGTACATGGTATCTGTTAAATCTTTATTCCTAGAAGTGTTTTAGTTGAAATTTGGTGACATGCTGTCTTAACCTTCTCTTTGTTACAGGTTGCGTTGGCATAGTGGCTGAGATGTAGGGGTTGAAATTCCATTGCACATGTCATTATATTTTTTCTGTGGATGATGGGGGATGTCCTCCCACAGGCCAAACATTTCTCCTGTCTGGAATGCCTGCAGGCTCTTTCAGAATCAAGCCTCAGGAGAAACATCTACTTGCTTTCTTATCTTACCAAAGAAAGGTAAAGTTCTGCAAACTGAAACATTATGTGGGGTGGACACAGGTCACTTTGAGACGTTTCATTCAGTCGTTAACACGCACGATACCTCAGAATGAGGAAAGATACTGGGCTGCCTTCTACTAATGGCAGTGTTAATTATCTTTAACTGGTAGCAAGTCAGTTAGAATTGTCACAGTATTATGTATTAAATGTGCAGAAATATAATTGTCCTGTATTGACATGCAGGTCCTATAGAATGATATGGGTGCATTATTCCTTCAAAGACGTGAAAGGTTAGTCACTGATGTCAAGATTAAAATGCCCAACACTTGGCAGCTACAGGACTTCATTTCAGCACCACTGTGACTCAATTTGCAGAACCCTCATCCTTTTGCATAGATTGTATTTATGTACAAAAGATCACATTCTTCATAATTAAGAAATGTTGACAATTACGAATTTCACTACTGATTGATTTTATTCTATTCTGTAGAAGACAATGGGAAGAACATCTTACAGTTTGCGCACTGAACATGATAAAAGATCATAGTCATGGTATAACAAGGGTTTGTTGTATTTGGACCTAAGTTTGGTGACGTAATTGGAGAAAAGTACATACTACTCATCTTGTAATACTGTTAACGTTTATCGTACAAGAATATGGGATTTGAAACCCAGTACTTCAGGGCTGCCTGGGGTTTAACCTTTATTGGCCTTATATTGGGATACACGCAGTGTTCCAGTCAAGAGTCCAGCCTTGCAGTACGCCTGGGGTTTAACCTTTATTGGCCTTATCTTGGGATACACGTAGTGTTCCAGTTGCATACAGTCAAGAGTCCAGCCTTGCAGTACTTGACTGTGCATATGCTCTGATACACAGCTGATAAATTTTAAAGCACTTACATTCAATACATTGTATGAATTTTGCATGGAAAATGTCTTTCTGTGGAATATTACCATATCAGCCTGTAACATGTCACAAGACTTCGTGACATTCAGGCACACACCTTTGCGAAATTAATCAGTTGTTTTTGTCATAATCTGTAGGTGTATACATGTGTGACTGGACATGATAATATCAATAGTGAGACAAATATAAGCACAGACATTAAATGCAAAATATTCTGAAGATGTGTATCAGCTTGTGATACAGTAACGATATTTTTGGTTACATAACATTTCTTTCCCAGACCCTGTACCCTAATGTCTGCTGTTATTGCTGGTGGCTGAAAGTCCTTCCATCTCCATTCTTCCTCCGTGTGCTTCCGACAGACAGTGCCACTACCTGCCTAGTAGCAGGAGACATTTATTCAGGTATACCAACATTTTATTTATGTGTGCCTTTGTAATTTCTGCAGTTGTGAGGCCTGAACTTATTTTATGCTTATTTGCAGAATATGGATTTATCCTTATAAAATATGTCAATGTAAACAGTGCATTATTTTGTAGTGAAACCACTCCTGCTTTGTATCCATGTCATGGATTCAGAACTTGGTGTTTATGTAAGTTGTCAGTAAGGTTTCCTGTGGACGGATCCTAACGTACAGCCAGTGCATCTCACCCTTTTAATAGGTCAGAATGCCATATTTGTTTTGTAACTTATGCAGCCCCACCCCACCCTTCTCCCTTAAGGAACTGTTGCTGGATTGTACCTAATATTGAATCTTATGTTTCCTTTATTACATGCTGTAATTTTATTATTCAGTATAATATCCCCACTGTCAACAGCTTAAATATGTTGATATACCATCCGTATGTTGTGTTAATTTTGAGAATAATAACATAAGAGATTGCAGATTCAGTAGGCACACTGCTTTGCATATTACAACTCCAATTCAACCTGATAGAAGTCTTGACAGCTTGAATGATTTTGTGAAGTAAATAGTATGGAACATGAAGACAGGAGATTTGTCCAAAATGTTAGCCACATATAAGACGACAAGCTATCCCAACCCGGAAGGCCACAGCCTAAATTCAACCTGCCTTGAAATTTCTTTGATACTCAAAAACAAATTCAGTTTAAGTGCGATCACTGGTTTCATAGATGCACCTCATAGGTTTTATGAAGGGTGAAGGACCTGTTTGTGAACATTTATACACCCTGCATAACTTTTCTAATATTTTATACAGTGCAGTCCCCTTTTGTTCTTGTATTGGTATTTATAATTTAAGACTGTCGATATTCAGGTATGCATTTTAATAAAATCAAATCCTTTATTACATTATTGTAACAAATGTAAATATAACACATCATGGGTTGGCAGGAAAATTAAACTACGCTCTTTGTAGTCACTGGTGATGACATGAACGTTTTTGAATGGTACTCACCCCATTACTAGTTCAACTTCTGTGCCAGGCGCACGTATTTCAGAAGACTGTACGTAATGAAGTAAGATACATAATGCAACTGTGTCTAATATGACGTGCCCACGTTTGTAGTCATCTACGTCTAACAACATAACCTCAAATATGTGACCAATGACTGCATTCTTAACGTAGATACGTCGTCATGTTCCAGTATACTTCGATAAAAAAGACGTTCCTGTGTAATAGAAGTGGTTTCATAATATTATGGCTAAGGAAGGAAGAAAACCAGACTAGAGATTTTTATGTTTAAAAATTTCACTCGAACGTAATAACTGAGCAAGGGACTCTAAATATCACACTTTTAATTGTATCACTTCGATTTCAATATAACATGCCGTAGAAGTGAAACGTCAGTTTATATTTTGTATTCTGTGATTTTACACGATGTGGTGATGGACGGCAAACGACGTCAATTATCACTTCTGAAGAAATTATGGATCGTCATACTCTAAAAGTGGAGGAAAGGCCAGTGATAAGAAAATTTCCTTCTTACAATAAGCCTCTTGTAATTGGCTGTTTTAGCCTTGATTCAGAACGTAATTACTGCGGAGACTTACGACAGTTAAAGTACATTCAGTTTCCAGCGAGTTCTGATGTTAAGTTTGATTTGGATCTTGGAAGAAAACATGTGCTAAAAAAAGACACCAGTCGTGATGAAAAACTAGATGAACTTTTAAGATGGATGCTTCAAAATCCCAACGATGGAAATCGGTATGTTTTTGTGTCACTGTTAAACAATTCTTTCGGAGGATTTATTTAGTATGAATAGCTCGTCGATGTCTTGCTAATTATTGCTTCATATTCAGGTGGTTTTCCTAATTATTTTTGTATTATCAAACTCTGTCTATTATAATGCATTCATTTTGTCTCATTAATGACACAGCATTGCATGCTAGTGAGTGAAACTGATGTGTTCTTTATAAGAATCTATCAGAACTTCATTACAGTGTTGACTGCCACCATGTGAACTGAAATTTTACTTGGATCATACATTGTCTTAAAATTTCACGTAATGAATATCTACAGAAACTAGTGCTATGAATGTTTACAGGGTGCCAGCCGACTTTGTGTGCTACCGAGGTCTGCTGACAATGTTGATGTGTACCCCATATGAGAAAGATGAAGATTGGATTATCTGTGCAACCAAGTGGAAGGGAACTATATTTTTGTGTGCTAGTGAGACTCGGAGGAAGCGTCTTAAAAGGGAACAGATGACAGACAAGCAGAAGCAGTTCATGTCGTGGGGTTTCAAGTTCGAGCAGTACATGAGCTCAGGTAAGAGACTTCATGAAGGTTTTATGTATCATAGATGGAAGAAACTAGGAGCAAATGGAAATGGTTAATGTCTTGAGACTAGAAGTTTAAACTGTGTTAATGTCTAGGGTCAGGGAGACTCCCACAATTGAGTTTCTCCATATAAGGTGATTGTGTTTGTGTTACTTTAATAGATTTATCTGAATTTATTTTCAGACAAACCTGGGAGAAAACCTGACGTGAGTAAACCTGTGAATGAACGAGAAGAATTCTGTGTGGTGTTCAGGACAAAGCTGAATAACCATTATCTGCTGTTTGGAGCAGAGGTGGATGGAGTGAAGAGCAAAACTCAGATTAACAACTGTTCTGAGCTGGCTGGTGCCGAATTTGTAGAGCTGAAAACAAGTCGACACATTGAAACGGTCAGGCAGCATCATAACTTTAAGAGGTAAGGGTTGTGATGATGAATGTAGGCCAAGTTAGAGGTTGTCATTACATTATCTGTGTATTTGCTGTACCTTCTTAATTAATACAGTAGTTCAGATATGAGAATTTCACGGTGGTAAAAATTTGGATTGTAGTCTTTTGCATTATGACTTAACATAAATCCCGAACATCAGCTATACAAATTATATGGTAATTATCCATTTATTTGTAATTTATTTAAAATGCTGTCAATACCTCAAACCATATAGCGTCCAATGATAGGATTATTAATGATCTGGAAAGGATTTGGAAGGAAGCACTCATAGTGTAATTTATGGTACCATCCTGTAATTTGCCCAGAGGAGCTGAGGAAAACCTGTCAGGACATCTAGTCTGTGTGGACCCAGGACCTCCTGAATGTGAGACAGAAGTGCTCAACAGTTGGCCATAATACTTTGTTCGTGTAACATGACTGCCATCTGGTCTTCATAAAGTTAGCCACTTTAAAGTTGTAGGCACATGCACATACAGGCAGGCATCTTCCTAAAGTGCTGTATTTCCTTTGAACACCAAAAGAAAACTCATTTCTGAAGAAATTATTCCACCTGTAACATTAAAAATCCTATAAGTTGATGGGCATGGACAGGCGTGGTCTCTACAGTGTCTCAGTGAAATGTGTGTGGCTGATAATGCTCTTACTGCTTCAGATTCAAGCTCATCAAGTGGTGGGGGCAAAGCTTCCTAGTGGGCATCAGGCAAATCGTCTGTGGGTTCCGAGACGACAGGGGAACAGTGCACATGTTGGATACCTTAGAAGTGTCACGACTTCCCAAGATGGTCGAGGTGAGCTCTCTTAATGTGTAAACTTCATTATAAACCTGAAGAACACATACAACATGATGTAATTACGATTGGGTTGGCTGCGAGTGTGATATTCGTCATCTTTTAGACCCAGAACAAAGTAGGAACACTTTTAATCTTTCATGTATTTTCCTTTGTTTTAAGTTTAATTACAGAAAAGTTAGAAAAATCTAATTGCTCAAAACTGTCTCGTTAATAATTTCTAACTGAATACAGGGTACTGTCAGCCCATTTTGTTTTTGTTAAACCACTTTGCCATTTTTCAGTTTTCAAACTCTCAGTCAGTTTATATAAAGTTCATTGTTTTGCACATTCCATTTTACTCTGTAATTCCTCAAAACAGACTTGACGTCGCAGTATTCTGCGTACTTTGCTCAACTGCCGCATTCATAAAAGATGCTGAAAGGGAAAGGTTTTGCTCAGAGTTCTTACTGTAGATATGATGACCATCTGGTGTTTTGAATGCGTGCTTCTGTTGTAGAATACTTGGGATCCAAGCATCTGCATGAACTTTTGTGACGAAGTTCTGAGCTTTGTGAGGCATCTGGTAGTGGAGGAGGAGGGCCCGGACACAGTCTGGAAGTTCGAGTGGAGACCGCACGAGGATGTGACAGCAGTCAAGATACCGGGGCCATCAGAGTTCAGCTTCCTTCCAGCCTGGTTTACTGCACCATAATTTTATTTGGATAGGGCTCATCCTTTCCAATTTCTCATATAGTGTCACACAATATCTGGAGGAAATGCGATAATTTTCCTTCACTTCTTTTGTGGTTGAAACACACATAAGAGGATATTGTTAGTATGTGAGATAATGTTAACAGGACAGAAGAAACATGCTCTGTACAGAAACAATTTATTTTAATTATGGAAATCAAAAAAGTGCATTACATGTATCAGGATGTATGAAGGATATGAAATATCCATAAGCCAAGTGAACAAAATAGTTTCCAAAGATGGAAATTAAAAAAATGCCAGGATACAATCAGTCAATCACTTTTGCTTGGCCACTTCGTGGAAATTAAAAAAATGCCAGGATACAAGCAGTCAATCACTTTCGCTTGGCCACTTCAGCACTTTATCTTGGACCAGAGGTGTGTCTCACAAGTGTCATTTAAATTTTATAAAGCAGTCTGACAGTTCTTCTTGCACCAGGAAGGAGGGTTAGAAATATATGTGTTCTCGTTCTTCCGTTTCTCAAGTATGTCGTCCGATAACCTGTCCCATGGCACTTAATTCAGACTGGGTCAGTGGGTTTAGCATTAGCCCAGGGACAGGTGACTGGAACTCCATGTCTCGTAGTCTGTTCACCTTCACCTTGAGCTCGCTACGCAACTTGTTAATCTCTGCATCTAGTTGCACCTGATCTGTGAACAAAAGCAATGCACAGATTACACTGAGAACGGACTGCAAGACGTCCGTCTGATAAATTACAGCGGTAGTAGATAAAAAGCTGTGTTGATAACCCCTGAACAATTACAAGCTGCGTGGTAGGAGAGAATATAAAAATTGAACAGAAGACCTAGACATAGATGTGAATATAATATTACATGATTGGAAAAGTGTACTGTTTGGAGTATACTGAAATTCCGAAGAAGTTCTTGTCACCAGCCAGTCGCTTTGTTCTAACCACTGCCAAAAGAAATTGGGGATTTATGTCTTACTCAAAATGTTTTCCTAGGAACTACCTAGGAAAACCATGAGAGCACCAGAGCATGAAAAACACCTAAAAATTGATTTTATATAAATCAAGTGGTGGGGTGTAGAATGGATTCATTCGGCTAACATGGATCAGTGATACCAGTGCCATAAAAGGCAGGGAATTGGAATAGCTGAATCACGGAAAGCTTCTCAAAGACCCTGCTCCATGGAGTGAACATTCTGTTTTGCGACTATAAGAAATACTACAAGACTTTAACTCATCATGGCCACACATATGCATTAAAATAAATAGATATTAGAATCTGAAGGTTTGTGATGGTATATAATTAAAATATAAAACTTCTTGGACATTATCCATTGTCCTAATTTCATTAAAAACCCATATTCTATTCAATAATGATAGCTGAAACTTGCCCTGGTGTAGCAGTTCCTGTGCCTTATTAGCAGGTATCTTGACGAGCAGAGAGCCAACAGTAAGCCATGTCTTGCCACCATCCTTGTGCAGCGCTCTGAGTGCTTCTCGGTTTAGATTGCGGCGCCTGTCCAGTGCTACCACTTCCCGCTTGTCCGAAACAATTTCCTTTCCAAGCCTCTCCACCTCTTCCAGGTACTCCAAGCTATGCTGCGGATTCTCTAGCAGTCCCAGCTCTGCCATAATCCAACCCCACGTAACACATGACAGACATCCATAAATTACTTGATTATTAAAAACAGGATATTCTGGAAAGAATGCACGATGCTTACTTTGTTGCTGTTATATATTTTACAAGAATACAGTTTTCAGAGATATGTTACATTGCAAACTTTCAGGGCCCCACATTTCTTCTAGCTTCTGAATAATGCTTAAACTTTCCAAGAAACCTTCAGTTACCTGCCTTTGTTACAAACTTACAAAATATTGATATCTTCTACAGACACTCATACCTCGTAACTACCTAAATGAAACAATCTTTTGTTGAGTGCATTTCTTTTTTAGTATAGTGTATTGGTTCCTCATCAATGTTTCCATAGTTACTCAGAATAAAGTATAGTTAGACTGCAGCTGCTAGCTAGACTCATGTGCCTCAGAAGTGCATCTCAGTTATCCTGCCCTACTATGTTCAAACCAGTAAAAAAAAATTGATCTCAACTTTGGGATGGGCATTCCAAAATTTTAACATTCATGTTACCCACCTTCACACAAATTTTGAGTGGTTAAATAAATCTTACTGGGTAAAAGAAGAGGGCCATTGTTTAGACTGGTTGAAATCAGGGGACTGCTATTACAGCCTTGCAGTATTTCAATTTCAACTTAGATAGCAGCAAACTCGTGCTGCTACTCTACAAGATGCAGAAATCTATTTACTATTGATGTGATAACTGCTATCATTTCTTGGCCATGACAATATTTTGTAGAAATTTAGCAGTCTCCATCTTCTGGACTTACAATTGTAGAAATGGTACATTGCTTCACCATTCAGTTTAATATTCTAAAACATAAACTCAGTCTGCCGAACACCATGTCATCCCAAAATGAAGATATGAGCCTTAATGTACTACTACCAAAGTCTGACCATCTTCGCTGCTGGTGAAAGTGTACATGGGCAATTTATGATCGTATGGTGCATATATGTTGCCAGAACAGCTAATTGTGTTGTGTACTTCTATTATCTGAGGGCACACCATAACATCAGAGCGCGTCTCCTAGCTCTCGCCGTAATGCCCGTTCCTTCCTCTGTTCCCTGGCTAGTGCTGCATCCCTGTTGCACCTGCTACTTGTTTTTCTTCTCGTCCGCTTCAATTTAAGAGAATGAGGATTAAAGTGTGTCACTCGAGGCTTCTCTCGGCTGGGCCCTCCCAGCCCTTCCCTATCTCGTTTCAGCACTGTCTTCAGTGGGAACTTGTGCCCTGATCCTTCAGGGCCCAGCCCTTTCTCCCTGTCCCAACCTCCCTTCACAAGTATCTGATACCCCCTGTTGCTCGCTGGAATGCTGTACACTGTTGGTATAGTAGTTTGTGTCCTGCAGCTGAAGAGGTGAATTGTTGAGGTGGCATGCTGTTCTCTGCTGGTGTTTCGGAAAGTTTGCTTACAAGAATCACAGAAGAATTCAAAGTGCCCAGCTCCAGATGGTTGACCCTGAACACCAGACTCTTTGTGGCCCTCTGTGATTGCCTGCACCACTGCAAGGTGGCCCTGTCTTCTTGCAAGGGACAGACAAGTGTTTCCACTCTTGTCTCTCAGGCTTACATCTGCCCTGTGGTTGAGGAGGAACTTGACAACATCCAAAGCACCAGCATAGGCTGCAGACATCAGTGGAGTCCATCCATACTGATCCGTCATGTTAATGTTGTAAGAGCTGGGCAGAAGAGCATTCAATCCAGCAACATTGTTTTTCTGAGCCTCTGTCAGCAAAGCATTCACTAACTTTGTTCTGTCTTGGCATCTGTTTATCCTTACAATAGAGTGGCCTGTTACCTCACCATGTCCTCTGCTTGTGGTCGGCTTGTCTTCAAAAGAAAGATCTGAACCCACAACTTCTTCATAGATACGTTTTGCTTCTTCTCCAGTTAGACAATTGCCAGTTACCTTTCTTGTCTCGATATTATCTTCAGTTTGTGAACAGCCTTCCCTAACAAATCGTTTCCAAGGAAAGTCCACTGTTGAAAGAGCTTTCCAATTGGGATGCAAAGCCATCATAACACAATGTATGTTAGGATATTCAACACTCCGAACACTCACCATCTACCCGATGCGCCATTATGTCTGCTTTAGTCCCTTTCACCTTCTTGTCGAGTGGGCTAATGCCATGTCGCCGTTGTTTTTCGTTTTGACTCGCTTACATGGCGCAAGATACTACGCGCGGCTCTACTTTCTGATCAATAGCAAATGTGTTGCTTTTTTTAATCTGTGGTATTGGTCGGTAGCACAGTACTCCCCACTATGTGGATTGATTGCCTCGATTTGCAGCAGGTGGACCAATCGAATAACCATCAGATAGCAGGGAGAATAAGAAAATCCATGTTGTTGACTTCAAGCCCATGACACCAAATTTCCAGTATGTTGGTAATAGAGACATCCTGTTTGGTAATCCGTGACCAGGTCGAGCGATGATGGCCGCCGATGAGACTTGTTGGAATAACTTACCTAGTGTGATTTTGGTCGAAGTTTTCTCTTATTTATCCCAAGAAGACAAAATTCGAGCATCTTCAACATGCAAAAATTGGAGGTTTGCTTTATATCACCCCAGTTTTTGGCAAAACATACATTTCAAAGCCAAAACGAAGGACAGGAACAGTATGTCCCGGACTCGATATCTCACGGATTGTTTTGCGAAAAAGTTACGCAATGCCACTGTAAGTTTTGATTCAATGGACCCATTATGTGTTCAGGAAGCAGCAAGAGTTTTGCAGAAGGTCTGTGATAATGATCATTTACGGCGATTGATGTTAATTCCCAGTCATTGTCGGTTTGAATGCCCTGGAAGAATTGATGAGCAAAAGCAGTTCTTCAAAAAGTAAGTTGTTGACAGTTATATCATGACAGATGTCAGTGTAGGAGGCGTCGTGAAAAGGAAGTTTAGTATAATTGTTTTGATGGAGGGAATATGTACGTCCCATTTGTTCAGGGACGTGCTGCAAAGGTTGCAAAATAGGTTTGATGGCCTTGATGAAAGACAATGTTCCAATTCCAGATGTCGCCTTTCCAATTATTTGTAGCAATTGTAACCACAGTAAATATCAAAAATAATTTTACTATAATGGAATTAAGATATTTAATAATCTTGCATTTAACTATAAGAATTTGTTTCATAGGTCCTTTATTTGACATAGGCCAAGGCCGTAGAACAATGTGTAAATGTAAATATAGATGTATATTTGGTTATTACAGCAATCTATATGCATTTTGTATCCGAAGGACAGAAAGTTATAGAATTTATTTACATTTCATAGATCTTTCATAGGCTCAATCAAAGCTTGTAGAGGGAAGATGATTCAACTGCCATGAAAACCTTGAATCCTACAAAGGTTGTAGAACATGTCATAGCACAAATACAATACTTGTTTCTAATACAAATATAAATTATATGGTTATGACAATAATTTACAGTCAACTACAGTATTACAGTAGTATTGGAACTTGTTTGAAACTTCTCAATATTGTCCATAACAAATATCAGTAATAAGAATAAGAAGTTTATTAAATTTCTTAAATGATTTTTTTACAGAGATTGTTTTAAGACCTGCATTGATTCTGATAAATTTCTGTTGTATGTTAAATATTATTTTGCTGTCTGCTGATTTTCCCGAGAAGATAATGTCACATGACATAATGGAATGGAAATAAGCAAAGTAAACTAATTTGAAAGTGCCTACTCTCTCAATGAAGCATGCTGAACATTTAACTTTGTTTTGGGATAATATATTCAGTGTGATTTTTCCAGTTAAAGTTATTAAAAATTTATAAGCCAATGAATTTAGTTGTTGATCTCTCTCCCCCCTCCATCTCCTCTCCCTACCCACCCCTCCCATAACCTACATTTATGTGAATACATGTTCTGTTGTCTGTAGCAAATTTCATGAAGTTTATATTAAAAAAAATTAGTTTAGGTTTTTTGTCTTCAACTATTTGTTCAATTTAATTAAGTCTTTTTCATGGAATTATAGAAGTATTTAATTTGTATGTGTAAAATAATAACGGTAATACTGTCAGCAAGTAGCATAGGTTTGGTCTGATATTTATAATTGGGGAGATTGTTGATACATATGATGAATTGAAGAGTATCAGATATTGGACCTTAAAGAACTCCACTTTACAGTACCCAAGTTTGGATATGACTTTTTTTTTTTTGGATCTTGTTTCTGCTTTCTGTCATTAAGTGAATAATTCATAGAAATGAGAAATTAACTAATTTTTAAAAGAAAATTCTTCAGTAGGCTAACATGTGAAGTTGTTTCCTGAAGTGTGTTGGTAGCATTTCTGTTGCATTGCCATGAAGTTTAAATAAATTGTTGTCATATGTAATGAAAGAGATGTATGTAACTAGTCACTGGATTACTACATTATGGCGGCAGACATGTGTTGAAGCCAGTGAGAATGCTGGTGGAGCAGTGCCAGAGGTTGGAGGCCCTGAGCCTAGGCTGCTCAGAGGAGTTGACAGTTTATATTGGAGCTTTCCTGGACCTCCTGGCTCGTCATCAGGCCTGCTCTCTACGCTACCTGGGACTTGCTTCTGTCAAGGATGACCCTGATGATTACCTCCTTCTAGACCTTGACCCAGGTCTCTTTCGCTCCTTTCAGATGCTGCAGGTATGCATCTTGTTATTTGTGGCGAATTTAACGGTGCTGTCACTTGCTCAAATTATATAGCATCGAGTGTTAAGGTGATAATTGGTTATTGAATTTTAAAGGATGTGGTCATGGCAGAGTTTATGTTATATCCTAGCATTTTCCTAGTGAGGCTGAGGAAACTTTTTTCGAAAAACCTCGATCAGGGTAGCCTGTCTGCATGCTGAGATTTCAATTTGGGACCTCCTGAATTTGAAGGAGGAGTGGTAACCACCTTTCAGTGGTGTGCTCCTTGGGAATTCTCCCCACTCAAAGCAAGTTGTGATTTGTGGTGCCAACATACAAATAATGTTATACGGTGATAACGTATGTTTTCTTATTGCAGATACTGAGTGTTGACTATGACTACGTGAGTGACAGTATGTTGGCAGCCCTCAGCGAAGTTGGCTTGATTCGCTTTATCATTCATGTTCACGGGATTGAGGAAACACATCCAGGGACCTCGAATTCAGCCTGGACCAGTTTTGTACACCAGAAGTGGGTACCTCTGATTTTGTTAAAATGAAGATTAGTGAAATCCTAATGAACTCCTCTTGGTCACAAAATATCCACTCTTTGTCTAGAAACGTGTGTTGTATTGAGCATAGTTACGTAGCAGTTTGCTCTCCTCCATCACGTTTCATTGTTACGTATGTGAGACACCTTCAGATTTTCCAACATTTACTAAGTCATAATTTATAATTTTGTGACGTGAGAGTTTGGGAAGGATGTCATTGGATCTGGCAAGTCTTGAATCTCAAAACAAAATTGTGTTGCAGTGCCACGTGTGAGCTCCGGCTCACTCTGATACACTCGTATGAAGCTGTGGACATCCTGCATTCTGACATTCTAAAGCCATCCATGCCACTCACTCATCTGAAGGCTTTCTTCTGTGAGCAGGTGAGCTCACTTCATGCATCTTCATTGTGCTATAAAAATATACAACTTTATAATTTATTGCAGTAGGAAATTGCGTTTATAACAGATACAGATAATGCTAGAAAACATTTAGTAATAAGACAACTTGGGAGAACTTTGCATAAATGGGACGATAGTACAAATATGGTGCTTAGAGAAGTAGGCTTTGAGGATGTGGAATGGATTGAACTGGCTGAGAAAATGTTGCATTTGCTGGCTTTTGTGACGTAGAGTTGGGCCTTTGGTTTCTGCAAAGGCAGGGATTGTTTTGATGAGGTGACCAAGTGTCAGCATTTAAGAAAAAAGACCTTGTATCACGGAGTCAGTGGAAAGTATCACGTTTGTTTGTTGACATTGTGTCTCAGTTGAACAGTGGCGCCCTGCACCGTCTCTCCAGCTGGTATACACACACCCTGCGCTCGCTGTGGTGGGTCGATTCCCTGGGGTCTGCCGCCGCGCACTGCCTCGTGCAGTCTTCTGCCGACGAACAACCGGACCCCCTCGTAATGGCTGCCTGGCGATGCTCCAATCTGGAGGAGATCATTCTGTTAGGTTGGTTATTGCTTTTATAAAGTAGCATCAATTTCTATCAAAATATCTGTACTGGTTTTGTTTTCTTATTGAAAGTATTGAGAAAATAATAATAATAATGTTGAACAAAGTAAAGTGGACAGTGCCTCTGCTTGATACTTCAGCGTTCCCCTTGTCCAGGCTGATCTTTGTGGTTGGCTGTTCTGTTTCTTTTTTGGTTTACTCCAGTTCATACAGATGTTAGTGCTCAACCTTAAAATAGGTCATGATTAGTTCCTTCAAAATCTGTTTCAGCGTGTTACTAGTAGCCACCTCAGCCACATTATGTTTGTACTTCCCATTTTTCTACCGAAAGTTACGCCAACATTGTGGCCATCAAAACTTGCTAGCTGGGAATGTCCCTAGTGCCACAAGTGTGTTAATATCTTTGAAATATTGTGTTGGTGTAATTTATTTGATATTATGATAGGTTGTAAACATGCTTGCAGAATCTGTGTATGAACAGTTACAGTGTGAAGGCTTGAGGATATGCTTAAGAGTCAAGATATGTTCTGTTATAATTTATGCTCAGAAATGATCAATAAATTATTAGTTTATAGTTCTAAGTCGGAGTAACCATATAGGTTGAAGCATTTAAAAGAAAGTTGATGCTATTAATTCTTTCCAGAACTTTTTTTTTCAGTGTTAGTGTCTGCAGTAGGTGATCTTGATTATCTGTTGCATTAAGACAAATGATTGCTTGATGACTCGAGAGACGCAGGCTGCTGAAACACCATAATTACAGCATCTTGAGCTTAGGTGCCACTTGGGCTGAATCCAGTGCCATGTGCATGTCCTAGGCTCCACTGTGGTTTAGGTCCAGTTATCTGTCAAAATTCAAGGGATAACGGAGTGTGCCTCATTGCCTTCATTTCTGAAGTATATTCTGTCAGTATTTCCTAGGCAGGTAGAGACCAAGAAGGTTGAATGGTGCATAATTTGAGGTATTAGCTACTAAAAAATGACGAGAATTAACCAGTGCTGGAGGGCTTTTACGTTTCATAAGAGGAGACAATTTTTACAGGCTACAAGTATTATGTGGACAACCTGGTTGCCATTGCCAGACTGCGAGGACATACCCTGAAGACGCTGCACATTGCAGCACAAGACATCCTATATGACATGGGAGAACCTAGCTTTGATGAGGAGCTTTCTCTACAGTTTGTAAGTTTTACCATCAGCTGATTTTGTTGGTTTTCCTCTCCCATTATGCAATGGAAGTTTCGTCTGAAGACCAGATCCGTTCCAGAATGATGGACCTTTGTTGAGTTACTTTATTTTGTCAACAGATAAAACATTAGTGAGAAATTGAGACTGTCACATGCAAGATTGGAGGTTTTCATGGCAGTAAAGATGTCATTGGTCTTCTGGTTAGTAATGTCACTCCATTATCATTACGGTGACATGGATAATGAAAAACTAGTTACATAATTCATGATACTGCTGGCTGATTGCAGATACTGATTCTGTGGTTACATCACTCTGCAAAATGTTGCACATGATGAGAAAATATAAAAGTTGTACAAGTCACTATTGTAGCAGCCCAGACAAACAATCTAAACTTTAAGATCATAATTTTGGTACTTCTGCTATGACAGTAGTTAAGTTCCAAGCTTCAGTGTCTTCATCACATAAAAACTTGTGGTCTAGATGTGTACTCTATAATCGAGGATTCCGATCTTGTGTCTTTTTCCAAATGGGGACATGCTATTTGCAGGAGGTGAGCGAGGCTCTTGGCACTGTATGGGCTCCTCTTCCCAACTCGGAACTGCATGATGTGATCCATAATCCGACTGCTGGCGACTCAGATGAGTTTATCCTTCCAGTTGTTTTGAGGGATCAAGACGTATAATAACAGCTTTGAAGGTCGCAGAACAATTGATATCGGCAAGAAACTGGACAAGAATCGACAGATCACTTCCGTCTGGTGGCGTAGAAGCTGCGACAGAGTGAGATGCAGAGCGCAACAAGTCAAGTCATTAGCTTGTATGTAGCTACTTTTGAGTACTTCTGATTGATAGATTAATGTATATACTAATATGTGTACTTTTTTTTTTTGCCAATTGCCACAACAAGAACGCCGGCGTTATGTGGAGTTTGCACTAAGAACTGAAAGGGTAAAAAAAAAATGATTGTGGTTGGCAGAGAGTTTTGCTGTTTTGCATGTCAGTATTTTTTATGAAGATCGCTGAGAAGTAGTGTGACTCTATAGTGGGTTAGTTGTGTGACTTCTCACCCCGCGTTGGGATCGACACAGTGACCCCAAATCATGTTCAACATTTCAGAATTTGTTCCACTGGGGGTTCTGCGTTTAATTACATGAAGTGGGCAGCCCTGACTCACCACATGAAATTTTGAGTTATATTGCTCGCCCACATTACGAGATAAACCAGAATTCCCGTACTTCAGATGAGATTACACGTCATTTCTTGCTGAAGTCACATTTTATTGTAATCTTAAACAGACTTGATGTTTAATTGAGTTTAACCATGTCGGTAAAAATAGTTCCCTTAATGTGAGAATTATAATTTATGAAATTCATGTGAAGAAAGACAGTTTGGTGCAAACGTTGTGTTTTAATGGGAAGAACAAGACTGAATTATCATTCCAGTGTTTGGCCATTGCAATTAAAATGGGGGAGGAACTTCTGTCATATTTGCTAGGCAAGTGATTAAGTCCATTTAAGACTAAGAAGCCTTTAGTGATAACTGTGTGACAGTAAAGCCAACTCAATTTTCTGTTGTGACAGATGGTTACAGTGATCCGTCAGGATGTAATTCCGTTGTGCATGCGGCATTCTCGAGAAAGAGTGGCTCTTTTATAATTTGGATTTTGGTTTTTTACACAAGAGGTAAAATTACACAGGATTACAAATTATGATACCCATATTGAACATGAAAGTAACCATGCCATATGATATACATGTAGACTGTGTAAGTAGCCAAAATTTTGTTTGTGGATTTGATGTTTCTACATAAAATTAAAGTGGAAACAGCATTCAGCACAAAGTAAGAAGAAGACCCTTTCTACTCATAAGTTAGAAGGGTTACCAACTAGAAACAGAGACAGGGGTTAGGATGTCAGTTTGCGTAAATATTCTTTAAAACAGGAACAGAAACTATGATTTTTCATTTGCTCCTGGCTATCCCAGGTACTTTTTTAACTTCAGTTCATAATGATATTCACCCTTTCATCAGTGTAAATTGCTGGGTGTGGAACATTAGCTGCTCAGCCCTGTGTGTTAGGCCTGTGGCGTCACACAACTAACCCTCCATGTAGGGTGCAAGATGCACTGTTATCATTTTGGTGCACAGCGTATAGCACCGCAGGCCACTGTAGTGTGCCTGAATGGTTGGGAGCCATTGCTCGATCACCGGTTGGTTTTTAAAGTTAGTTATAGTGAACATTCCAGAGAGTGGCTCATTATTTTTAATAATGGTGGGTAAAATGCTGCTGCTCAAAGTTAAACCAAACATCTGTGATATTTGTAGCATCTAGTGTGCTGTGCTGGACGTAATCAGGTTCAAAAGAGGACAGCTATGACTCCATACTTCTGACAGATTGAAATTTTAACCAGTGTCCAGTATCATGCTATTTCAGCCAGTAGGATACATGAGTTATGCAGGTAGTTCTACAGTATTGTATTTATACTTCATCACCTACTGTGCAGTTTACATTCAGTATTGTGTATTGTCTCTGGTGTCTGTATGGAGATTGATCCTTCCGCCTGTCCGAGCACTAGTCAGGCAGTGTTCTGATAATACCTATGTTTCATTCTACAACACGTCTTTGAATCATGGACCAGGGTTTGATTTCTCTTTGGGTTATTTGTGGCTCGCAGTAGGAAAATATTTAATGTTGATTTCTACCTTGTTTTCCATGAATTTCCTCAGTGCTTCCTCTCACCGTGTGCCGTGAGTTGTCCCGCGTATGTTTGACCATTAGTTTAGTTTATTCAAAAGAAGCTGTCTCACTTTGCTGCAATCCCTTGTTACAGAAGTATGTAAATGTCACAATCAAAAATTGAAAAAAGTTAAGGTAGAAATGACATTGTTTTAAAAAGAACCTACTTACATCTGTAGTGCTAGAAGACAAAAAAAAATCTCTCTTCGATAAGAACATCCTGCCAACCTTACAAGTCTGTCACTCTGTGTTGGCAGCATTTAGTTGTTAGTTATACATGTGGCACTAATGGCCAGAATGAGCAGTATTAGTCTGAATGTGAGTATGCCAACGGCAAGGGTCTTGTTTTAATGTGTCATTCCAGCGTATACGGGAGCAGACAGTTGCATGTTAAAGGTGCCCTTACTTGGCTTCTGTCACATTCTTAATGCATTATAATATGCTGCTCTATGTCGTTGAACAACTTGTCTTAAACACTACTGCAAGCCAGTCAAGTTTAGTGTTTATGTCTTTATTGTCATGTCAAGAATCACATTGCAGCATCCCCTGTACCAGATCTAGCTTTTAGTGGGTTTGAAGCTGAAGTTCAGTAATGGAATTTTGAAGTGTTTAACATCAGAGAAAGTAGTAATTGGTTCTGTTATTCAATTCAAATACATATTTAGTAGCATCACACACATGCCATTTCATGATTGTCAACACCAGAATGTTGCTGTGGGTCATTGGCGCCCCATATCAGTTATCGAGTACATCTATTTTTGTTTGTTAGGTTGTGATCATGACTCTGAATCTGCTTAGTGTGACAGCTGAATTCTAAATCAGCTCAACATGTGCAGCTGTGTGGGTTTCTTTTCTGCTTCTCTTTTATGAAGTGTAGAGAGAAATCATAACTGCGATGTCTACTAGGATTTCCATTGACCATATCAAAATGTATTTCTATATCTAAGATAAGCAGAATTGTCAAAAAGATGTTCTTTTTGGTAATAGCAGCTTGCATTAGGAATCCAAATACTGAGCTTTAGTTGCTTCAGATCAGCAGCTTGGTCAGTCACCAACCATTAGGTCACTTATTTATTTAAATTGGCCACAAGAGGATCACTGCATTTTACGTGTTCCCCTGTAACCTGCCTGGAGACACGTGACAGAGCCAAGAAAGAATCACTGGCAAGAATAAGTTCCTTTTTTGATTATGAATGTTGTATATTAGTTGACATCAGTAGTCATACATGTTGATTTGTGTTTAATATTGTGGTATCACTGTCTGCTCCTTGCAACTAGAGTGGAACAACACTCGGTACCTGATAAAGCGCCTCTAGTTGTTTTGTCCAACGCAGAAGAGGGACTACACAAGTTGTTTAATTGTATTTCATCTAGTTGCTTGGTACTTGCAAATCAGTGGGTGGTATAGGAACACTGAATGACATGTCACATTAATGTATGTTTTAGTTCTTAGCTCTTTGTAAGTGACTGGAAATGGCTACTCTCCGTTGCAAAAGAAGTGTTAATTATGCCTGTAAGTAAAGATGCAAGAGCTAGCTTGTACCAATAGCTGGCAACACCTTATAGAAATTGTTGTGTTAACTGCTTTTCTGCACTTGAAATGCTATAGTATGACTTGAAGAGGATATTGCCATTTTCACAACGATGCGTTGCAGACTTCATTTGCCGCGTGTGTCGGCAGGTGCGAGTCTGATAGTTTGTTATCGTAACATATTGATATGTGAGTGAATGGTGAGGCCTTGTGTGTTTTGTTTGCTGTCACTCTTTGTCATTTGTGTCCCACTGTTTGCAAAGCATGAGCAAAGTAATATCAGATGAAGTGAGCTCATCCTTCTGTGTGCAGCGTTGCACTCTGGGCGTGCGTTTTGTGATAATAGTTCCTAGTATGTAGCAGGTTTGCATGCCCCTCTCACCTGCTGTCATGTCTCGCAACACTGAAAGCAAATCCGCCAGGGACGCTGTCTCGTGTCTTCTCAATTTTTAAATCAACGAACTCGTCTGTGGTATTTTAATTTTAAACTGAATTTGGAAACTCGAGATCTTGGTTACCAGTAAGAGGAACTGTTATACCAAAGATGATCAGCTGGTGGATCTGTCCTGTGCGCTTGATCCCACGAGTGGGGCAGACACCCACAAGTTCCATTCCTTCATCTTGTAATAACATGTCACTGCAAAGCTCAGCAACATGTCATGAGGGGACAGCTTATGAAACGTGGAATTAAGGTGGTGTAACTAAACTTGTTTGTTTTGTCACATTTGGCAAGAGCCATGTAGGATAATTAGAAAATGTTGAAAACCAGCTAGCAATGAGATTTTTCACAGTGGTTTAAATTGAGAGTGAGGTTCATGGCTACCTGCAATGTCATTACGCAGAAGACCACAATCAAAATCACAGCTATGACGGGTAGTAAATATTATAATTTATTAAACGATGGGCTACGCCAGACCTCAGTGTGGTTGTTACATGTCCTTCTTCTATTACAGGAGTTTGACTGCCCTCGTTTGCCCTTAATTCCCAACTCATACGTGCAGTTTTGCTCCTAACTGTTCACATACATGTTGACACAGCATTGTTAAAAGAACTAATTTGTCTCTTCAATTTATTTTGTGTTCTCTTTGTGCCTTGCCCAATTTTTGTTAAGGGAGTGGAGTAAAACCAAGATAATTTAAGCATTATGGCCACTTTCTGAGACACCACACCAAGAATTTTGTTATCTAATCATGATGGGACTTCAGGGAACCACCATCATAAATTTTGAAGTAAGATCTTAAATCTGCTATGATGTTAGCTGGAACGTGGTAGAAATTTAGTCATCAACATTCTAATGTAAGAAATGTCTGATTTTTTCTGTTTCTGTCTTTCTTTGGAATAGAAATGGAACAAGCAGCATCTTGTCTCACTGCCTTAACACCAGATTTGGCACTATGCCCCGTTTATCGATATGTAAAAAACAAGTAGGCCTTATAAGCATGTGTCAGACACTAGGAGGATGGCGTGTGGTGTGTGTTTTCCTCCCTTTCATGCAATGTCAAGGCCTATGTTTGCTCAACTGTTACAATATAACATGCCTGCCAACTTTACATGCACACTATTTTACTGCTCACTGTTCAGCTTCACATTGTATGGTTGTCTCACGTTTGCTATTATTGTAGTATTCTGGTCTCGAGCCGTGAGTTCTGTCTTAGCATTTCTGTGTCTTGTGACATTGCACTGTTCAGAAACTTGTATATTCACAGCAGGAGGCATGGAAATATTAATTGTGGTTTTTACATTGTGAAGCATATTACAGTAAAGGACTCTGTGTCTTGGAATGTTCAGTTTTTTTAAATGTCCTCATTGTGCATAAGAACCTTCGTAAGTGTGTGGGTGTGCGCGAGAGAGAGTGCATGCGTGTGGGGGGTGTTTGCACGAATGTGGAGTAAGAATATAAATGTGTACTGATATTTGTTTTATGATTCTGCATCTTGTCTTAAATCCTGTGTCTGCATATTATATTTGTAAATTCTGTAGCAGTTGTCAGATGAACTGGTGTTTTTGTCATATTCCATCTTGTGCCATTTTCAAACAAAATTTTCACTCTCTTCATGTTCATAGTCCACTCTCTCTCCATTCATATTGGCATCGTACAAGAATTTGTGTAATTAATTTCAAGACACAAAAGTGATTTGACAGAACTTGTGTGCTTCTACTGCAGTCTGTGTGGCATTTAGTATTAATCTGTTTATTCACAGTTGTGTGGTTGGTTTTAGAAGATTGGCAGGCATGTGTGAGAGCCAACGTAAAGTAGAGACAATCTCTGTGTTAGTGCTAGAGACTTAGTTCCACTTGTCTGTGATGTATATTCTTCCCTGTGTCTGTATCCTCATGTCTATGTGGAAAGATAAAATATATTATTGTTGTTATGATTATTATTGATATAAATAAATATATATATATATATATATAATTTTATGAATTATAATGACAACTGTGGTGGTGGTATTGGCTTGTGAAAGAATCCCCACCAGATTGTGAGGTGTTTCAGTCCAGGACCCTGTAGGCCATAATATAATGTTCTAAAGCTTGAATTTATGAGATTGCCTGTTGTATTTTATGATTGTAAGAATTTGATGTATCAGAAGTTCCTAGATGTCATGTAATGTTTGTTCCTCAGGGTTTGTAATTTATTTATTTTCTTGTTTTTGATTTGAAATGACAGATTGGTCTGTCTTTTTTTTTATTTTTTTGTGCTCATTGGGTTAATCCTTTGCTAGCATATTTTGCATAGTGTCTGTAACAAGAGACAGCATTTCATTGCAGGGCATTACAGCACAAGATGGACTTAAGGGCCTGCCATCAGGCCACTTGCAAAATGTCTTATTAATAAACATATCTGATATTTTTTATCAAAACCTGGCCCGTAAGTTCTGTACATCTTAATTGAGTTTTAAAATTACCATTATTTTAAACAGTGCTCAAAATATATTCAGCTGTTTTTAAATTCAAAGTGGTGGAAGTCCTAAGCATTTCTTTCAGGAGAAAAAAGAAACACAAAGTAAAGCGATATTGGTAGAAATTATAAGTGCACATGGTGTTACAACCTGGAAGACCCAACGCTGACATCTATGAACAATTATAGTAATAGATTTTGGACTTCTGGTGTAGGGGAATTACAAAGGCCTGCTATTTTTAAGGGATGTATATTAAATAAGGGGCAAACCCTGGGACATCTAGGAACTGTGATTGGCTGAACAGTGTAAGCGCAGTTTGTAACAACATCCTAATTTATGAATCAGACGTTACAATAATAACACTGAGACTGACATCTTTATATATTTTCAAGATTAGTTTACAAGTTCACATCCAGTGTGTTCGGGTCTCCTGGCATTTATAGGGTTCAGTGCAGAAACTGTATGTGGAAGGTGGTTGTTACAGAACCATCTGATCCTCAGTACCATGTCTGACATTCTGGTGCATTGTGTGAATCTCAGCTTTGTAGTTTATTAAGTTTTTACAAGTTTAGAAAACTGGAGCACTGGATCCTTTATTTTGAAAGTGTATTGTAAATAAGGTGTACCCACCCGTGTAAGCAGATGGGATAGTGGCCCTTATTATGCTGAACAGAGTATTGTACTATACATGTATGTTCATTCTGTCAGCCGTACTGCTTGCTCTATGTTCTTACTGTTAAACTGGCGATTTCCAGACTGGTTCACGAACCCATTGAAGAGTTCATTGGAAAAAAAAAAACATAATGGTGAATTGTTTGCTGTGCCAGTGTTATGGGTGCTGCTGCATTTTTATGTTTCAGAAAACTTAGTTAATTCTTAAGTCTCAGTCACATGCCCAGCTTCCTGTTCAGCGGTGAAATGCCCAAGCATGAATGCATGTAAATTGGCCTCCATGTCCTTTGTATGTCTTGACTTTATACTTAGGAACACACACAGTTTCAGTTTACCCCATTTGCAGTTCTATCATCCTTCACATGTAGAAGGCAAAAAATTTGTGAAACACCACATGAAGGTCTGTCTGCATGATCGTACATGGCTGTCAGGATAATGGGAAACAAATTTAAAATAGAAATATGTGTTGTTAGAAGTTTTCCCACCCTCAACGATGGCATTTGTGATTGTATTAAGTTTTTAAACCTTTTATGTAAGCCATATGAGCCGGGATAGCTCAGTCAGTATAGTGACGGGCTGGACGACCGGGGTTCGATCCCCGACGGGGGCAGAGGATTTTTCCTCTAGCCTCTGCGTCCAGACCGGCTCTGGGGCCCACCCAGCCTCCTCTACAATGGGTACCGGGGTCCTTTCCCGGGGGTAAAGCGTGATGCCGACCACTCACCCCCATCTAGTGCCGAGGTCAAGAAAGAGAGGAGCTATACCTCACTCACCCCAAGCGCCTTTACGGCACGTAGCGGGACAAACTTTACTTTACTTTATGTAAGCCATGGTTTTCCAAATTGTGTCGTCAGTTTCTCTTTCGGCTTAAAAGATGGTGATGCAAACACAAATCAGAATTAATCCACACCGAGTTTTAAGATAAAAGCAGAGATCTTTGTTCGTAGTGTAGCATTTCCTCAGTAACCTACAATTTTCTTTGTTTTTAAGTCTGAAAGCTGGCAGGGGAGGCTCAGTGTTGATTAATAAATGTACTCAAGGCTAAGAACAATAATATATGTAAACAAATAATAACTTGGTTTATCATTTGAAGGACTGAATAGGACAATTTTTAAGGCTTTCAAAATAAAGAGACAGTAGCATATCTGAATACTGAGAGGTTGTTGTTCATGATGAAACGGACCACTAGAAATGTACCCATGGTCTGTGGAACTCAGCTTGATAATCACTAGTCTGTATTGTGCCGCTACTGCAGCAGAATGTATCTGTTTATACTTCATCATGTTGGTAGCACTGGTCTGTTGTTTCTCTTCTGTTTAGTGAACACAGTGGTGTGCTTTTACATAGATTCAATGGGTGATTCACTCAAACATACCAAGTAAATAAATTTATGAAGTCTGATGTGTCCTTTCTGATCCACACTAGTAAAACCAACCTGACATCATGGTTTACACACACAGGAGTAAGACCCCCCACTCCCAGATTCTTTTGAACTCGAGTTTCTTTTCCCTTCCATTAAACATACAAGGACTAATCCTTACCTGAAAAAAAAAAAAACAGTGAACTGCTGACCTGCTCAAGAAATCACATGCTTTTATAAAACCTTAAGGTTCATCACCA